GTGGGAGGGTGGGGGGTGTTGGAGAGGAGTGAAATGGTTCATGATAGATTAGTCAGTAAGCACAAGAAGCCCAGGCTTACCTGGCTACTGGGTAATCCTATCTTGTGTTGTTTTCTGTGTTAATCTTTGATGTCCTTTTCCTGCCTCACATGCCTGACTCCAAGTGGTCAGGTAACGTCCTGCCCACGGAAATCAAGGCCATTGGCTTGCGTGGGAGGAGAGATAGCAGCAGAGATCCGAGTCAAGATCTGAGAGAGATTGTGAATCCCAGACCCTCGGGAACGCAGCAACTGTGAAACGCTTCGCAGAACTCTGAGTTTGTAGGGGGTTTCCCACCCTGTCTGTCTGTCTGTCTATCTATCTGCCTATCTATCTGTCTGTCTGTCTATCTGCCTATCTATCTATCTATCTGTCTGTCTGTCTATCATCCATCTGTCTGTCTGTCTATCTATCTATCATCCATCATATATCTATCTATCTATCTATCTATCTATCTATCTATCTATCTATCTATCTATCTATCTATCTACGTTGAGCTTAGCCATCTTTATTGAAACAGCAAAGGGAAGAGGGATCAAAAGTTTAGAAGCCTGAGCTGTGTCAGGAGGGAAGGGAGAAGTGAACATTTTCCTAACGTTAGTGACGAAGAAAGAGAGAACATGGATGAGCTGCCCAAATGGGGAGGCAGGGAGGAGGGTGCGGGTACCAGTCCCGAGGTGAAGGAGCAGAAGGCACAAATGAGCGAAAGGAGGCCCAGGGCACTGTAGGATGAATGTGGGGCAACACTTTAAAGCACCACTCAGCTCTGTACAACTAGGAACCCCTCTTTCCTAGGAACCAGTGGTGGCCCCCGGGTGATCTTGAGCCGCTCCCAATCTGGGGCTGGGGCATGAGGGACAGGCTTCCACAGGCCTGAGATTATTCTACTGTCAGAATAACTTCTTTGTCTATACTTGGCCCCCTTTCACCCTTCTCAGCTGAAAGCATCCTTCCAAACATAGTCAGCAGTGGGCAAGTCCTGCAGGCCAAAAGGAAGCAGATGTAAAATACAATCGGAGTCTAGCTCCCAGGGCAGTGGTTCAGAATCTGGCAGGCTCGGCCCCAGGAACACAGCATTTACAAGGTGAGATGGCAACCCATAAAAGCCCCCCTCCACCCAGGGGTGCAGCTCTTGGGGAAGGCCCCAGGGACATTGGCAAAGTCAGCCCCTGTGGCTCAGAGAGATGGCGGCCTGCGCTTCTTCATGGCAAGTTGGTTTCACCTTGGAAAGGCCACTCAGGCCGGTAGCCTCCAAATGTTACCCCTTTTTCTTGGCCCCCGAGCATAGCCTTGAACTGAGTGCAGTGGGGAGTTCCACATGGCCACCAGGACAAGAGGACAGCTGGCTGCTTAGTAAGGCTCCCCAAAAGCAGTTGGGATGCCTGGCATCTGGATGATGCCCAGGGAGCTGACGGATGCCCCTTTCAGACTACCATCCCATGGACCAGAGAGGAGGAAAGCCTTGGTATGCAGTGTGGCAAGGGTTTTCTGGTTCCAAGAAGCTGTCTAAAGTTCTGGCTTTAGAACTGTAGCTCCGCCGTGGGTGTAACTGACCCTTCGAAATCCAAAACTCAACCAATTGTCATCAAGTTGATTCTAGCCCGTGGCAATGCCACGTGTCACCGAGTAGAATTGTACCACGTGGCTTTCTTGGCTGTAATCTTTTATGGGGAGGAAACCTGATGGCTCAAGGGTTAAGCACACTCCTGCTAACCAAAAGGTTGATGGTTCAAATCTACGAGTGACTCTGTGGGGGAAAGGATGTAGCAGCCTGCTTTTATAGAGTCCCATCCTCAGAAGCCCCATCCTCTGCTTGATTGGGTCATGATCAGTCAGAATCAACTAGGGAGCAGTGGGTTGCTTTTGTTCTGATTGTTTATTTTGGAAACAGATGGTCAGGCTTTCTCTTCCATGGAACAGCTGGGTGGTTTTATGTTAGTAACCCCATCTCCACCAAGTAGATTCCCACTCAGGGCCGCCCTCTAGAGAGTTTCCAAGGATGTAAGCTGAGAGCCTCATCTTTCTCCTGTGGGTTTGAACCACCGAACTCGCGGTTAGAGCCCAATGCTTAACCAATGTGATGCGTGGCGTTTCTCCTTAAATCCACTGCCATGAGTTGCTTAGTAAAGTCAAATGTAAGAGCAGAATTGTAGAACAAAGCCTGAATCAAGCAATGCTCTTGGGCCTCTTTCTGAGGTAGTTTTAAACTGTGCTTTTCATCATGGACTCTGATCTCAACCCCCAGCCCTGATGAGAATGTCTGTGTTCCCATTCATTCATTCATTCATTCAGCAGGCTGTGTGTCTGCTCTGTGCAAGCCCTGGAGAGGAGATACGAGCAGCACAGGACAGATTGTAGCCCCCAGGGTGAGTGCTGCCGCGTGCTTGGAATCATGCTCTTTTCTCATCGAGCCCCTGAAACAACTGTGTTAGATTGGCATCAGAACATATAGCCGAGGCATGGAGAGCTCATATGTTTGGCTCCAGATCACACAGATCAAGTTCTGTGACAGAGTCCAAGGCATCTGGCTCCAGAGCCCAAGTTCATCCCCAGTGTGTTCTGCTGCGTCCTGGAGATTCTGAATTTGAGTCAGAATATATTCGCCTTAGTTTCCTCCCGGAGACAGAAAACAGCCCAGACCTTCCATCAGATGCTCCAGTCCCAGACACCCTACTGCTTGCCGAGGAGGACATTTCCCGTAATTCTGATGTGGGGCCACACGAGCTGCCCCTCACTGATCATTGCACACAAACTACTCACCTGTCTCAGTAGCTGGTACCCTTTAGGGAGAAGACCATTTTCTTCTATTTGTTTGGTTGATGACCTGCTCTCACTCAACTCTGGTCTAAACTCTGAGCTAAGGATGGTTTGATCCCCAATGACTCTGGACTAATGAGCTAAGGATGGTTCGATCCCCAGTGACGCTGAGAGTCTAGATCTCAGTTCCCTTGCAGCATGAACTTGCCAACTGCCAGGGAGAGGTTGGTTGGCCAGGAGGAGAGGGGATGAGGGGGTGAGGGATCCCTAGAGCTTTTACTTCTTGAGAAGGAAGTGCTTACCAACAGGCCATTGGAGCCGTGGACGGTGACACAGCGAGAGAAGGTGTGGTGGATGGAGAGCTCTCGCACGTATGTGGGCGGGTCATAGCCTCCCTCTTCGTCCACGTCACCCGCCAGGTGGAAGTGAATCGGGTACTGACCCACCAGCTGCTGTCCCATGTGCTTCAGCTCCACACCCTCCATATGTGCTGCCTTAAACCCCAATGCAAACTGAGGAAGGAGAGATGAGAGTCAGAGTGAGAGAGATACT